GTGCTCGCGGAGAGGGAAGGGGGGCTGGTGGGCGGGTGGGGGCCGGTGCTCGCATCCAAGGAGGAGCGGGAAGGCCGAGAGGGGCGGTGGTTCCCTTGGTTCAGCCGTCACCGCCGCCGACCCCTTTTTCCTCTTGAGGACGGCAACTNTGGGCAGAACGGAACGCGCACGGCGGTCGAGAGGCGCGGCTGTGGTGGGGGTCAGAAAGGGCGAGACGGGCGCGGCCAGGGACAGGGTGGCCGGGGCCGCCCCGCTGGTGCTCGCGGAGAGGGAAGGGGGGCTGGTGGGCGGGTGGGGGCCGGTGCTCGCATCCAAGGAGGAGCGGGAAGGCCGAGAGGGGCGGTGGTTCCCTTGGTTCAGCCGTCACCGCCGCCGACCCCTTTTTCCTCTTGAGGACGGCAACTAACCCCGACACCAATCGTTGATGTGTAGACTAGATGCTGTACGGTTATCGTCTTTTTATTCGGGTGAAGGATGGATTATTCGAGTGAGACATACAGAAAACGTCAGTTGAGTGTCGAGGTGCCGATATGCATTCCATGGTTGTGCTTCAACAGCTTTCGGGGGTAGTTTTCGAGCGTCCCACGGGGGGGAGGGGGGATGGAGGGTGTAGAGGTGTTTTCCGGAACTCCGGGGACGTCGAAATGCTGTCCCCGTTTTTTTTCGCTGCTTCGCGACTTGAGCTGATCGTCTTGAAAGGACGTTTCGATGGGGCGTTCGAGTGGTGGGAAACAGGTGCGATTTTCTGCGAGAAGTCTCACCGCAGTGCCAAGCTGCTTTTTTTTGCCTGGCCCAGTTAACGTGCTTGAATGTTTGTAGTCTATGTAAAGAGGTCAAATGAGCTCCAGACGACGTATTTTTTTCTTGCAGTCAAATTGATGTGCCTAGTAGAAGCTTGGGGTGGTTCTAGGGCTATGGAGAGATGCTTGGGGTGCACTCCAGTACCGGGGTCGGGGGGGGAGGGGGGCGTACTCTTATGTTTTGCATGTCTTAGCGGTTAGACCATTGACCACGCGTCCTCGAGAGGACGGAGCATTGTTCCCACAGGACCGATCACCGATGGCCAATCGTTCCTTTCTACTTTGCCAAAGGTGGCTCAAAAATGTCTTCCCTAGTCTGTCTATCCTAACGATATCCCTTCCCGCCTT